CCGGGGGCCCCTGGGGGCCCCCCGAGCCTATGAAGGTGGGGAGCGGCGGGGCCTCAGTACCCAACAAAACTGCAATGTGCTCGAATACAACCCTGAAGCAAAGACACTCCAACAAACCCTAAACCCTCAACGCTAAACCCTAAACCCTAAACCCTAAACCCTAAACCTCTTGCAGGAATAAGAAACCTCTTGCCGCATCAAACCCAAAACACTGCACACACAAACCCTTCATCGGCCTACTAGACCCTAAACCCTAAACCCTAAACCCTAAACCCTAGGCCCCCGATGTACCCGTATATTTCCAGGGCGCACTGAGCACTGCCGAGCCAAACCCTCAGGCGGAGGCCCTCAGCTGCTTGGGGGCCCCCTCCTTGTTGGGTACTAGGGGGGCCCTCCCTTTGCTGGGTACTAGGGGCCCCCCCTGGCGTCTCGCCGGTGCGGCGGAGGCGGGGGGCCCCCAGTGCCTTGACAAGGGCCCTCAGGGGCCCCCAAGAGGCCTTTGATGTCTGCTGCAGCAGAACAAACACACAAACTCTAGCTGCAATGTATATCTTCTAGATGAGTTTTAGGGTTTAGGGTTTAGGGTTTAGGGTTTAGGGTTTATGAGGAGAGTTTACTGTGGATGGGGAGCAGGAGCTGCTGTAAGCAGAAGAGAGATGAAGCAAACCGAGAAAGAGAGACAGAGACTGCCGCAGGAGTCCCCTTTGTGCCGCCAAAACCCTCATACACAAATGCTGCTGCTGCTGCTGTTGCTGCTGCTGCTGTTGCTGCTGCTTTTGCTGCTGCTGCTGCAGCTGCTGCAGCAGCAGCTTTTCTCTGTGCTCCCCTAAGAAGAGGCTCAGCGGGAGCGGTAGCAACTCATGCCAAGGGGGCCCCCGGGGGCCCCCTTGCAGCAGCAGATGGAGGGCCCCCGCCGGGTCCTTGAAGGGCCCCCACTGCAGCAGTACCCTCACAAGGGCCCTGCAGTAGGCAGCAGTAGCCAGCTGCAGCAGGCTGCGAGCAGGTATCTGCAGCAGCATCTGCTGCTGCTGTTGCTGCTGCTGCTGCTGTTGCTGCTGTTTATGCTGCTGCAGCTGCATTCGGGGGCGCTTTCGTCTCGTTTCCGATCCCGTTGCTGCTGCTGCTGCTGCTGCACTAGCTGCAGCAGCAGCACCAGCAGCAGCAGCAGAGTTTGTTGCCTCAGGAGACAGTGTCTCCTCGAGGCCCAGCGCCTCTCTGCCACCGCGGAGACACCGCAGCATCCCGAGGACCTGCAGCGCAGCAGCTGTGGGGCCGAGGCCCCACCCTGCTGGGCTGGGGGCCCCCAGGGGCCCCTGTAGAAGGCGGTCAAACGTACCCTTTGCTGCTGCTGCTGCTGCTGTTGCTGCTGCTGTTGCATGTGCTGCAGCAGCTGCTGCTGCAGCACGCCCGGGGGCAGACACAGTGGGGCCCCCACCCCTGCTACGGCCTCGCGGTGCAGGGGCCCTCCCCTTGGGTGCTTTTCTTCGTTTGCTGCTGTCCGTGCTGCTGCTGCTTCTGCTGCTGCTGCTGCTGCTGTATCCGCTGCTGCTATCTGTGTGTATATCTTCTTCTTGTGCTGCTGTTGCTGCACGTGCTGCCTTTCTAGGTTTTCGTTTTGCTGCTGAGCTGTCTCCTGTGGGCAGCAGTTTGTGTGGGGTGTCTCCTCTGTCTCCTGCTGCATGGAGACGCTTAATCATATACAACACGGGGCCCCAAAGGGCCCCCAAGAACCGCTGCAGCAGGGGCCCCCGCCGCAGCAGAAATGGCAGCAGCACCTCAGCGAACAGCGCCGGCTGCTGCTCTGGGGGGGGCCCCCCTACTTCCGCTGCTGCTGCGGCTGCTGCTGCTGCTTCTGCTGTTGCTGCTGCTGCTGCTTCTGCTGTTGCTGCTGCTGCTGCAGTTGCTGCTGCTGCTCCGCAGCCGGTTCTGGGCCGCTTAGATCTGCGCTGTCTCGACACCGGAGACTGCTGCTGCAGCGTGTGGGGCCCCTGGGGCGGTGGAGCAGCAGCAGCAGCTAGAGCCGCGTCTGCTGCTGCTGCTGCTGCAGCAACAGCAGCAGCGCCGGCTGGGGTGTCACTGCAGCAGCAGCGGCCCTGCAGGTACGCGTCGAGCAGCTGCAGCAGCTGCTGCAGCAGCAGAGTGTGCGAGGCTGTCTCCTCTGTCTCCTCCAAGGGGACTGTCTCCTCCAGCAGAGGGGCCCCAGGAGACACACAAAAGGAGACAGAAACGGAGACAGAGAGACAGTCCTTGGGGGGCACGAGAGACAAGCAAGCAGAAGAGGAGACACCACACATATTAAAAACGGAGACAGGCAACTGCAGCAGCAGCTGCCACGCCACGTAGCACAGGGGGCCCTTCGTGTGTCGCAGCAGCAACGGAATCTGCAGCAGCAGCAACACAAGACAGCAGCAGCAGCAGCAGCAGCAGCAGCAAGGATATTCTGCTAAGCTGGAAGGCGGGGGAGCCGTCTGGCTTAACATAGCAGTGAAGGGAGAAGCGGCAGCAGCAGCAGCAGCAGATGCAGTAGCAGCAGCAGAAGCAGCAGCAACAAGAAAAGCAGCAGGAGCAGCAGCAGCAGTAGGAGCAGCAGCAGTAGGGTCAGCAGCAGATGCAGCAGCAGCATAGGCACCAGAAACTGCAGCAGGGGCGGGAGCAAGCAACAGCAGGAGAGTCAGCAGGAGCAGCAGCACCATCAGCAGCAGCAGCAGCAGTAACAGCAGCAGCAGCAGCAGCAGCAGCGGGGGTTGCGCACCGGGAAGGTCATATTGAGGAATCTGCTGAGGTGTCTCTCCTCCTTCACCAGCTCGATGTCATGGGGGCCCCTGGGGCTGAGGAGGGCCCCGCAGGTGTACATACAGCTCATCAGCAGCAGCAGATGCTGCTGCTGCTGCTGCTGCTGCTGCAGTTGTGTTGGATCCTCGCTGTACGCTGCGAGCTGCACACAGACGCAAACAGCAGCAGAACACCAACTGTCTCCTTTCAGCAGCAGAACACCAACTGTCTCCTTTCAGCAGCAGAACACCAACTGTCTCCTCCCCCCCTCTCGCAGCACAGCCCCACAAAGTGTCTCCTTGCATGCGTTTTAGGGGCCCCAAGGAGACACAGCAATGCTTCTCCTCTAACCGGTACTGCCTTAACACAGCTCTCACGGGGGCCCCCAGGGGGCCCCCCCCATACAGGGGGGCCCCCAACGGAGGGGCCCATGAAAAGGGGGGCCCCCAAGAAGGGGGCCCCCAGGGGGTAGGAGGGAGCTGGGGGGGGTATGCCTCGACAGGGGGGCCCCCAGAGGGGGGGCCCCTGCAGCGTACCTGGGGGTGTACGAGCTTGAAGAGGCCTGCAGCTAGCCTGCATCTATCGATGTAGTTGGGGGCCCCCTGGCTGCTGTGGGGCCTCAGCTGTACCCAGGAGGGTTCATAGGGGGCCCCCAGGAGCCCGGCGAGGACATAACGAAGGCCAATGCTTAGAGACTCAAACACTCGCACCTGAGACAGTCGTAACAAATACACAGCTAGCTAGCTAGCTAGCTAGCTAGCTACAAAGGCGACCAACAGGGCAGCTAGCTAGCTAGCTAGCTAGCTATGTCTGCTGCGCATAGGAGACAGGGGGCCCCCCGTATAAGCATAGACTCATCAGGGTACTGGGGGCCCCCCTTCCTACCTGCTGCTGCAGCGGGAGCGCAAACAGTTCGCTCCATATGCGGCTAGCCAGCCTCTGAGAGACCTCAAGGGGCCCTGCTGCTGCTGCTGCTGCTGCAAGGAGGCTGGGTAGCAGCAG